GGCAATCAGAACACAGGACAGTTGACCAGGCAATACAAGTTATGTGGAGTTTACACTAGTAAAGTGTAGCAGCACACTGCGGATGTTCCCAATTTAGTTAAAAAAAACTGAGGCTGGCACTTGGTACACCGGAAGGGTTGGCACAGTGCCAATGACGAGAAAGGAAGTAAGGAAACAGGATATGGAGGCAGGTAGAAGGAGGAGGAAGAGGAGGAAGAGGATTCTGAAAATGATTATTATATAACTAATGTTCGCACTGTAGACACATCTTGTATCAGAGAGGTTACTGTGAAAGACAGTGCCACACTTCTGCCTTCCACAGCGGCCGTCTACACCATCCCCTGGGGGATGCTGTCCAAGAAATATGTAGGGAAAACAGGCAGAAATCTTTAGGTCCTTCTGAACGAACATTGAAACGCCAGCAACAGAGATGACTTAGAGTACATGTACTCCACAGACAACACAGACCATTTAACGTACGTCTTTGTCTTCTACAGGGACTCCACCGGGACGTATGATGAACTGGAATATGGTACAACTCGCCCTCACCGAACAAGATCTTAGACGCCGATCACCGTCACCGACACCATAGAACATAAGAACATAAGAACATAAGAACGAAGGAACACTGCAGCAGTCCCACTGTCCCATGCGAGGCAGGTCCAAGTCTCCTACCGGCTTAAGCCAATGCACCCAACCTAGTCAGGTCAGGTCACATTGACTTAAGGGAGGAACACGGCATCCGACCTGGTAGCACAAGCTAATCAGGTCCATCTCACACCCACCAACACCCACTCATGTATTTATCCAACCTATTATTAAAGCTACACAACGTTCTGGCCTCTATAACTGTACTTGGGAACACTAATATTAATAAACACCATAGAACTTAAAGATAACATTAATAAACACCATAGAACATAACACTAACATTAATAAACACCATAGAACATAACACTAACATTAATAAACACCATAGAACATAACACTAGCATTAATAAACACCATAGAACATAACACTAGCATTAATAAACACCATAGAACATAACACTAGCATTAATAAACACCATAGAACATAACACTAGCATTAATAAACACCATAGACAACCAGGCAAAGCACCATCTTCCTAACAACACAGGTGTCACATGATCCCATTGTTTACCTCTCCTCATCATGACATTCTTTAGGTCACCATGCGTCACTCACACCTCACTCAGGTCACCATGCGTCACTCACACCTCACTCAGGTCACTATGCGTCACTCACACCTCACTCAGGTCACCCTGAGTCACTCACACTTCATTCTACGCCTATGTATACTGTCTTTCTATGTATACTGTCTTTCAAGTCCGATTAGATCTCACTTACCTCAGAAACAACATTCTACACAGTCTAGACCAAGACCACAACAATCGCCGGTCACAGCTCATACTACAAGCGGACAAACAGCATATCAAAAACACCAAAGCCTTCTGGAACTTTATCAAAAAAATCAGAGGCACCACTCCCACCAACAAATTCAAACACATCACCCACAACAACACACATCTCAGACCCGCAGGCTGCTACTAACATCTTCAAACACATCTGGGAGAACATCTTCCACCCTCACCCACCCCACCCTAACGCTGTTCAACACATTCAGAACATAGAACACTGGAACACTACACACACACACACAAAACAACACCAGACAGCCACATCCATCTGGACTCTCTTACCTCTCCCAAGAACTTGACACTCCTTTCACCAACACAGACGTTAAAACTTCCTCAGACACTTCCTCCCAAGGCCCTGGTGCCTCTGACCTAAACCATATTATCCTGAAACACCTTCCTGACTCTATCATTACTGCCTACACAAACCTCCTCAATGCCTCCCTTGCCTCTGGATACTCCCCTTCCCTCTTTAAAGCTGCTATGCTATCTCCTTCCTAAACCCAATAAAGACCACTCTGACCCTAGAAACTATCGCCCTATCAGCCTCCTCGAAACTTTAGGAAAACTCTTTGAAAAACTCATCAATCATCGCCTTCGCAGATACCTGGAACACAATTCTCTACTTTCTGATGGCCAGTTTGGCTTCAGAACACACAGATCCACACAGGATGCCATTAACATCATTCTCAACTACACCCACATAAACACAAAACAAAGAAACAGGACAGCCCTGGTTGCAAAAGACGTTGAAAAAGCTTTTGACACTGTCTGGCACCAAGGGCTCAAGTACAAACTCTGCACTAGCTTTAACCTGCCTCTCACTATTCGTAAACTCCTCTGCAACTTCCTAGATGGCCGTACCATGAGAATAAAATTCCTAGGCTGTTACTCTGACTACTTCACACTAAATGCCGGAGTACCCCAGGGATCTGTCCTCTCCCCTACCCTCTACATTTTATACACTAACGACATTCCAACACCTGTATACCACAACTCCATCACACTAGCCTATGCAGACGACATTACACAACTTATCACTCATGCCAATATAGATACACTCACACACAAAACACAAAATGAGGTTGACAGGATAGCCATCTGGGAACAAAAATGGAGGATCAAAACCAATGCAGCTAAATCCAGCATTACGTATTATAACTACAGGAAACGTGATCCTCCATTACCTGTCGAGCTCAGAACAGCTGACACCCGCACTTACATCCCCATCACACAATCTGTCACTGTCCTTGGCGTTAATCTTGACTACCTTCTTCGTTTACACGGACACATTCACTCAAGGCATGCAATAGCTAGTAACTCCCTTGCGGGCCTCTACAAGCTGAAACATGCCTCTCAACGCACCAAACTACACCTCTACAAATCACTAATACGTCCTCTGATAACTTACTCTCCTCTAGCCCTCTCTCTTGCAGCAAACACAAACTTGTAAAGTAAAAGGACACAAGTGCAACTAATGTGACATTTTATTGTGGCAACGTTTCGCTCTCCAGGAGCTTTATCAAGCCATTGGCTTGATAAAGCTCCTGGCTTGATAAAGCTCCTGGAGAGCGAAACGTTGCCACAATAAAATGTCACATTAGTTGCACTTGTGTCCTTTTACTTTACATATTGTCGGTAAATCTACCAACTTTATTACAAAAAACAAACTTTCTTAAACTGCAGCGTGTCCAGAACAAGGCGCTGCGCTGGGTGCCTGATGTCAGATGGGAGGACTTCGCCACAAGCGAGTCTCTCTATGCCCAATTAGACATCCCTGCGCTGAATCTGTACTGGAAGACGCTCAGTGACAGACAGATAGACAAACTTGAGACACGACATGACTACTGGGCCACTCTCCTTGACGAAGACATTCGCAGACCCACAAACCAACACAACCTTTTCTACTCCTTGCATGATCCTGCTCCTAACCCTATTTACAAATAACCTTGGATTCGCTGACAGGTACCTTCTATGACAGGTACCATTCTCTGACCCACGTTCGCCTTAGCATGGCTTAGTTCTACACTCCTCTCTAGCGCTAAACGTCGCATGTCCCTTCCTCCCCGCTCACCCCACCGGAGTCCCAACAGAAGAGCCTGAATTTCTCTTCTCAATATCTGTCCCACGATCGCCTTCGCTGCTGGGTTAAGCCCTGGCTCTATTTCTACGACTAAGAACACTCCTCTCCAGCACTATTCTTCGTCTGTCCCGTCTTCCCCGCTCATCCCATTTGGGATCTTACCTGAACTTTCGTTCGTTCGTTCGTTCTGTGTATGTTAGAAGTGATCAAGGTACTAGTAAGCAAACATTTCATAACGTCCTAGTGTTTGCTTACCTACCTCTTTAAACCAGGATAAATGATAAATTGAGTTACCTAAACATGGATATACAATCTGAGTGATGTATGACTCTCAGTGTATATACACTGAGAAGTATTTGACTTTCAGTGTACATAAAATGAAAGTTATTTAAGGTACTAACGTGTTCTTGACAGGTGGTGAATAGGTGACATGTGCCCTTAATGATGTTTGTGTTGTGAGTCCTGAGTCACACTGAGGACTCACAACACTGTGTGCTTCACTAACACTGCTTCACTAACACTGCTTCACTAACACTGCTTCACTAACACTGCTTCACTAACACTGCTTCACTCATACTCACAAAACAGTCATGTTTAACACGTGGAAATATTCTTGAAATCTATGATGTCACATTCGTTGGCCAGAGAAGCCAAGTGTCAGTATAGTGCCTCACCCTGTGAGTCAACATAGAGGCAGTATTGGGTACAACCTCACCCTGTGAGCCAACTTAGAGGAAGTATTGGGTACTGCCTCACCCTGTGAGTCAACATAGAGGCAGTATTGGGTACAACCTCACCCTGTGAGCCAACTTAGAGGAAGTATTGGGTACTGCCTCACCCTGTGAGTCAACATAGAGGCAGTATTGGGTACAACCTCACCCTGTGAGCCAACTTAGAGGAAGTATTGGGTACTGCCTCACCCTGTGAGTCAACATAGAGGCAGTATTGGGTACTGCCTCACCCTGTGAGCCAACTTAGAGGAAGTATTGGGTACTGCCTCACCCTGTGAGTCAACATAGAGGCAGTATTGGGTACTGCCTCACCCTGTGAGCCAACTTAGAGGAAGTATTGGGTACTGCCTCACCCTGTGAGTCAACATAGAGGCAGTATTGGGTACTGCCTCACCCTGTGAGCCAACTTAGAGGAAGTATTGGGTACTGCCTCACCCTGTGAGTCAACATAGAGGCAGTATTGGGTACAACCTCACCCTGTGAGCCAACTTAGAGGAAGTATTGGGTACTGCCTCACCCTGTGAGTCAACATAGAGGCAGTATTGGGTACAACCTCACCCTGTGAGCCAACTTAGAGGAAGTATTGGGTACTGCCTCACCCTGTGAGTCAAGATACAACATACAACATACATTATATAACATACAACAGCAGTGTGGCTTACTTCCATCTAAGTTCTGACGTCCTCCTCCAGGATGCAACCCACAAATTAACTCTTTCATATCTATTTACAGGTAAGGAATGAGGGCAGTAGGTGTAAGGGGGCCTGCCCATACGCCCTGGGATTGAACCTGGTTGCTTCTGCTGTGAACCGACAGTTCCAGCACAGCCCACGCCATAGTTTTGAGAAAGGAGGAGGCAGGTATGATTCTTGAAAACAGATAAATAAGAGGATAAGACATGAGAAGAGAGAGAGAGAGGGAGAGAGAGAGAGAGGAGGGAGAGAGGAAGGTAGAGTGTGGCCAGCAGCACCAACTGTGTTTCAGTGCTCCTCACGCCGTCCTGGGGTGTTGACTTGTGTTACTTTCTTCCCCTGGGGCGCTGACTTGTGTTACTATCTTCCCCTGGGATGTTGACTCGTGTTACTTTCTTCCCCTGGAGCGCTGACTTGTGTTATTTTCCTATTTAGGAATGGTGAAGTGTGCGTCACTGCTGTACACTGTCCTGGCTACTGATACACTGTCCCAGGTACTGATACACTGTTCCAGGTGCTGATACACTGTCCTGGCTACTGATGCACTGTCCCAGGTACTGATACACTGTCGCAGGTGCTGGTACACTGTCCCAGGTGCTCATACACCGTCCTGGGTGCTGATACACTGTCCTGGCTACTGATACACTGTCTTAGGTGCTGATACACTGTCTCAGGTGCTGATACACTGTCCCAGGTGCTGATACACTGTCTCAGATGCTGATACACTGTCCCAGGTGCTGATACACTGTCCCAGGTGCTCATACACCGTCCTGGGTGCTGATACACTGTCCTGGCTACTGATATACTATCCTGGGTACCGATACATTGTCCTGGCTACTGACACACTGTCTTAGGTGCTGATACACTGTCTTAGGTGCTGATACACTGTCTCAGGTGCTGATACACTGTCTCAGGTGCTGATACACTGTCTCAGGTGCTGATACACTGTCTCAGGTGCTGATACACTGTCTCAGGTGCTGATACACTGTCTCAGGTGCTGATACACTGTCTCAGGTGCTGATACACTGTCTCAGGTGCTGATACACTGTCCCACGTGCTCATACACTGCCCCAGGTGCTGGTACACTGCCTCAGGTGCTGGTACACTGCCCCAGGTGCTGATACACTGTCTCAGGTGCTGATACACTGTCTCAGGTGCTGATACACTGTCTCAGGTGCTGATACACTGTCTTAGGTGCTGATACACTGTCTCAGGTGCTGATACACTGTCCCACGTGCTCATACACTGCCCCAGGTGCTGGTACACTGCCCCAGGTGCTGGTACACTGCCCCAGGTGCTGATACACTGTCTCAGGTGCTGGTACACTGCCCCAGGTGCTGGTACTCTGCCCCAGGTGCTGGTACACTGCCCCAGGTGCTGGTACACTGTCTCAGGTGCTGGTACACTGCCTCAGGTGCTGGTACACTGCCCCAGGTGCTGGTACACTGCTCCAGGTGCTGGTACACTGTCCTGTATACACTGCCTGACCATAACACTGCCTCATTATGTGATGCTACAGTAATGATCAACTGTGGATTAATAAGGTTAATTATTACACTCTGATGAAGGTTATTTAATGATTTGAATACCTTAATGACCCTAGTGAACGAAGGAAGGAGAGAGAGAGAGAGAGAGAGAGAGAGAGAGAGAGAGAGAGAGAGAGAGAGAGAGAGAGAGAGAGAGAGAGAGAGAGAGAGAGAGAGAGAGAGAGAAAGAGGACTTCTTCACTGGTCGTGGATAATTCTGAGGGGGTAGTGTCCAGCTGGTTGTTGTGTAGTGGCACTGATTGTGTGTGTCACTACCTGCACCTTGCAGTGTCAGCAGTGTAGTGGCACTGATCGTGTGAGTGTCACCACCTGCACCTTGCAGTGCCAGCGGTGTAGTGGCACTGATCGTGTGAGTGCCACCACCTGCACCTTGCAGTGCCAGATGTGTAGTTACCCATGATAACTGCGAGGGTTAATAATCCAGGATAACCAAAGAAACCCACCCAGTGTGCTTATATCCAGTGTTGCACCCCAGGATGCCACCCACACCAGTCACCTAACAGTCAGGTGACTGTGTACTGCTAGATGAGCAGGTGAAGGAGACATCGGGAGACTTGAGTATGCTTCTCCGCCTGTGGCCAGGAATGAGCCCGGGTGAGTTGGTTGCCAACCGAGGACGCTACCACTGAGCTACCCTATTACAGCAGCATCTGTAAGACACAGCGACAAAACGCTACCGTTAACAGGGTAAGTGATCTATACTTCCCCGTTAACAGTTGTGCTCATAAATATACATATAAACACGAGTATATTATATATATATATATATATATATATATTTATATATATATATATATATATATATATATATATATATACATATATATATATATATATACCTGGAGAGGGTGTCGGGGATCAACGCCCCCGCGGCCCGGTCTGTGACCAGGCCTCATGGTGGACCAGGGTCTGATCAACCAGGCTGTTCCTGTTGGCCGCACGCAACCAGACGTACGAACCACAGCCAGGTTGGTCAGATGCTGACTTTAGGTGCCTAACTTGAAGACAGCCAGAGGTCTATTGGTAATCCCCCTTATGTATGCTGAGAGGCAGTTGAGCAGTTTTGGGCCCCTGACACTTATTGTGTTGTCTCTTACCGTCCTAGTGACACCCCTGCTTTTCACTGGGGTAATGTTGCATCATCTGCCAAGTCTTTTGCTTTCTTAGGGAGTGATTTTCGTATGCAAGTTTGGTACTAATCCCTCTCACCTAATTGTACTCACCTAATTGTGGTTGCAGGGGTCGAGAGTCAGCTCCTGGCCCCGCCTCTTCACTGATCGCTACTAGGTCCTCTCTCTCTCTCCCCCCTCTCTCTCTCTCTCTCTCTCTCTCTCTCTCTCTCTCTCTCTCTCTCTCTCTCTCTCTCTCTCTCTCTCTCTCTCTCTCTCTCTCTCTCTCTCTCTGCTTCCTGAGCTTTGTCATACCTCGTCTTAAAGCTATGTATGATTCCTGCCTCCACTACATCACTTGCTAGGCTATTCCACTTCCTGACAACTCTGTGACTGAAGAAATACTTCCTAACATCCCTGTGACTCGTCTGAGTCTTCAGCTTCCAATTGTGACCCCTTGTTTCTGTGTCCCCTCTCTGGAACATCCTGTCTCTGTCCACCTTGTCTATTCCACGCATTATTTTGTATGTTGTTATCATGTCTCCCCTGACCCTCCTGTTCTCCAATGTCGTCAGTCCGATTTCCCTCCACCATTCTTCATAGGACATTCCCCTGGGCTCTGGAACTAGCCTTGTTGCAAACCTTTGTACTTTCTCTAATTTCTTGACTTGCTTGACAAGGTGTGAGTTCCAAACTGGTGCTGCATACTACAATATGGGCCTGACGTACACGGTGTACAGTGTCTTGAACGATTCCTTACTAAGGTATTGGAACGCTATTCTCAGGTTTGCCAGGCGCCCATAAGCTGCAGCAGTTATCTGGTTGATGTGTGCCTCCGGAGACATGCTCGGTGTTATGGTCACCCCAAGATCTTTCTCCTTGAGTTAGGTTTGCAGCCTTTGTCCACCTAGCCTATACTCTATCTGCAGTCTTCTTTGCCCTTCCCCAATCTCCATGACTTTGCATTTGGCGGGGTTGAAATCGAGAAGTCAGTTGCTGGACCACGTGTCCAGCCTGTCCAGGTCTATTTGTAGTCCTGCCTGATCCTCATCCTCTAGGATTTTCCAAGTGTATATAATCATATATCTTTCCCGCCTGCGTTCTAGGGAGTACAGGTTTAGGAACCTCATACGTTCCCAGTAATTGAGGTGTTTTATCTCCGTTATGCGCGCCGTGAAGGTTCTCTGTACATTTTCTAGGTCAGCAATTTCACCTGCCTTGAAAGGTGCTGTTAGTGTGCAGCAATATTCCAGCCTAGATAGAACAAGCGACCTGAAGAGTGCCATCATGAGCTTGGCCTCCCTAGTTTTGAAGGTTCTCATTATCCATCCTGTCATTTTTCTAGCAGCTGCGATTGATACAATGTTATGGTCCTTGAAGGTGAGATCTTCTGACATGATCACACCCAGGTCTTTGACGTTAGTTTTTCGCTCTATTGTGTGGCTGGAATTTGTTTTATACTCCAATATAGTTTTAATTTCCTCACGTTTTCCAAATCGGAGTGATTGAAATTTCTCATCACTGAACTTCATATTGTTTTCTGCGGCCCATTGAAAGATTTGGTTGACGTCCGCCTGGAGCCTTGCAGTGTCTGCAATGTCCGCCTGGAGCCTTGCAGTGTCTGCAATGTCCGCCTGGAGCCTTGCAGTGTCTGCAATGTCCGCCTGGAGCCTTGCAGTGTCTGCAATGTCCGCCTGGAGCCTTACAGTGTCTGCAATGTCCGCCTGGAGCCTTGCAGTGTCTGCAATGTCCGCCTGGAGCATTGCAGTGTCTGTAATGTCCGCCTGGAGCCTTGCAGTGTCTGCAATGTCCGCCTGGAGCCTTGCAGTGTCTGCAATGTCCGCCTGGAGCCTTGCAGTGTCTGCAATGGAAGACACTGTCATGCAGATTCGGGTGTCATCTGCAAAGGAAGACACGGTGCTGTGGCTGACATCCTTGTCTATGTCAGTTATGAGGATGAGAAACAAGATGGGAGCGAGTACTGTGCCTTGTGGAACAGAGCTTTTCACCGTAGCCGCCTCAGACTTTACTCTGTTGACTACTACTCTTTGTGTTCTGTTTGTGAGGAAATTATAGATCCATCTACCGACTTTTCCTGTTATTCCTTTATCACTCATTTTGTGCGCTGTAAGTAAAACTGGTCAATTAGCAAGAACTCATTTAACATTAAGTCCTTTCTAAAATTTTCTCTTACACGTTTAAAGATACACTTTTTTCATTTATGTTAATGTAAAAATTAATAATTTTATACCATAAGAACCTTAGAAAACTGGCCTAACCTTATTGAAACAAGCTCAATTTAATTTAGCATAATCTAAATATATTTTAGATAACTTTACAATAATTTAATAATAAACAAACACATTGAAATTTTTTTTTCGTTAGGCTCAGAATGATTTTTGCGAAATTATTGCATATACGAGTTTTCGCTTGAATTTTCGGCAAGAAGAGCGTTGCTATTTAAGCTAAAATCACAAATTTTACCTATTCGCCACCAGGCTTCCCAGCTTATGCGGCATTTGTGGCCGAGTGGATAAGAGCACTGCCTGGGAATCTTGTCCGTCTCAGTAGTAGTATCGAGTCCTGCTGACTGCGATCTTTCTTTGTATATTCCCGCTTGTTTCTGCGTGGTGCATTGATATATATATATATTTTATTTTATTATTTTATTATCACACTGGCCGATTCCCACCAAGGCAGGGTGGCCCGAAAAAGAAAAACTTTCACCATCATTCACTCCATCACTGTCTTGCCAGAAGGGTGCTTTACACTACAGTTTTTAAACTGCAACATATATATAATATATATATATATATATAATATATATATATATATATATATATATATATATATATATATAGAGAGAGAGAGAGAGAGAGAGAGAGAGAGAGAGAGAGAGAGAGAGAGAGAGAGAGAGAGGTAGTGATAATAACCTAGAATATTCATATATTCTGACCAGCGTCATGACCAAAAGTGGTCTCAGACCACTGTAGATATTAGGTTAAATTATTCCAGGTCCGGAATTAATATTTATATTTCTCGTTGGATTATTAATAATACAGAATGTGAAATATATTATACTGGAATATAGCTGCAAGACCAGGACCAGTGTGTTGTATCCTAGGTGGAAGACCAGGACCAGTGTGTTGTACCTTAGGTGCAAGACCAGGACCAGTGTGTTGTATCTTAGTGCAAGACCAGGACCAGTGTGTTGTATCTTAGGTGCAAGACCAGGACCAGTGTGTTGTATCCTAGGTGGAAGACCAGGACCAGTGTGTTGTACCTTAGGTGCAAGACCAGGACCAGTGTGTTGTATCTTAGGTGCAAGACCAGGACCAGTGTGTTGTATCTTAGGTGCAAGACCAGGACCAGTGTGTTGTATCCTAGGTGCAATACCAAGACCAGTGTGTTGTACCTTAGGTGCAGGACCTGGCCAGTGTGTCGCACCTTAGATGCAGGACCTGGCCAGTGTGTCGTACCTTAGGTGCAGGACCTGGCCAGTGTGTCGTACCTTAGATGCAGGACCTGGCCAGTGTGTCGTACTTTAGATGCAGGACCTGGCCAGTGTGTCGTACCTTAGATGCAGGACCTGGCCAGTGTGTCGTACTTTAGATGCAGGACCTGGCCAGTGTGTCGTACTTTAGATGCAGGACCTGGCCAGTGTGTCGTACCTTAGATGCAGGACCTGGCCAGTGTGTCGTACTTTAGATGCAGGACCTGGCCAGTGTGACGTACCTTAGCTGCACTCTGTGTACGGTGTCTGCCTACACTCCCTCTCTACCTCTTATTGTGTTCATGGAGAAGCCCTAAGCTGTCAGGGGTCACCACCTTTACAAAAGTGGTATCTGTTGCCTTGAGTAACCTGCTGAGTACTTCCTACATCTCTCCAGTATCATCAGTACTCACCTATATGTGCTTGCAAGGGTCGAGTCACAGCTCCTGGCCTTTCCCTGTGAGTGCCACAAGTAGATGCTCGGTTTACGGTCTCTCAGTGGTCTGAAAGAAAGATCATTGTGTCAGTAGTCTGAGATGTTTTAATCTTGGAGCGAGGTCCATCTGGATCACCTGTACCACCTGGACCAACTGGACCACCTGGACCACCTGGGCCACCTGGACCAACTGGACCAACTGGACCACCTGGACCACCTGGACCAACTGGACCACCTGGACCAACTGGACCACCTGGACCAACTGGACCAACTGGACCAACTGGACCAACTGGACCACCTGGACCAACTGGACCACCTGGACCAACTGGACCACCTGGACCAACTGGACCACCTGGACCACCTGGACCAACTGAACCACCTGGACTAACTGGACCACCTGGACCAACTGGACCACCTGGACCAACTGGACCAACTGGACCAACTGGACCACCTGGACCACCTGGACCACCTGGCCCAACTGGACCACCTGGACCAACTGGACCACCTGGACCAACTGGACCAACTGGACCACCTGGACCAACTGGACCACCTGGACCAACTGGACCAACTGGACCACCTGGACCACCTGGACCAACTGGATCACCTGGACCAACTGGACCAACTGGACCACCTGGCCCAACTGGACCAC